ATATTAAATATATGTATATATAAAAATATGTGTATGTAAAACTATATTGTTATATATACAAATGTTATATATAATATAGTTTTTGTTGATCTGACAAAAATGAGTATAATTGTGATTCATTCATACCAGATGGTTATTATCATTTAAGATTTTATTTATTTATTTTTAGAGAGAGGGGAAAAGAGGGAGAAAGAGAAATATCAATGTGTGGTTGCCTCTCACGTGCCCCCTCCTGGGGCCCTGGCCTGCAACCCAGGCACGTGTCCTGATTGGGAATTGAACCAGTGACACTTTGGTTCAAAGGCCAGCACTCAATCAATCAGTCACACCAGCCAGGGCAAGACTAATTTTTTAATGCAAATGTCTAGTTTCAATGAATTTGGCCTGATTATTTGTTTTTTTAAAAATATTTTTATTGATTGATTTTAGAGAAAGGAAAGAAAAGAGAGGAAAGGAGAGAAACATTGATTTCCTGATCTATTTATTTATGCATTCAGTGGTTGATTCTTACATGTGCCCTGACCAGGAATCAAACCTGCAACCTCAATGATGCACTAACCAACTGAGCTACTCAGCAAGCTTTTGGCCTGATTATTTGTGTAACTTCAACAAGAATAGTAACTAATCATATAGGTTCTTTTAAATCTGCTTTGCTGGAATTTTCAACCCTGTGTGAATTCCCCATGCACAGGTATTAAAATTTTTATTTTATCCTTTTAATCTGTCTTTGTTAATTTGACTTTAGCCCAGTTAGAGGAACTTAGAAGGTGGGATGGAAGGTGTTATTTTTTCCTCCAATGTACTTTTTATTATTTTACTATTAAATAATTCTCAGTCACTTCATATTGTGGATTAAAAAGGGGTCACATACTAACCCTGACAAGCTCAGGAGAGGCCTGTCTGATGGGTCTTACAAACTCAGAGACTGAAAGTAACCACATTCTAACTAAAAGGGGTTATGTCAGGTAGTTACATCCTAGGCCTGTAGCTTCCTTAACAAAGGTCTATCTTTACCTTAAGTGAGCCTGTCTATTGTTTTTTTCCATCTAAGACACCATAACTTTGAAATGTCAGAGTGATCTCATTTTCTACACCCCTCAGGGAAAACTCACCCCTAGAAAATTAGACAAAACCCCTTATTGTAATCTTATTGCCCAAATACCAACTCTATGTGCTACAAATATTAATGATTAAGTATCCTGTAGCTGTACCCGACAACGTAATTTTATTTTTTTATCCAATCAGAGATTTTCCCACTTTGCTTTCTTCCATCCTCTTAATCTACTACCAATGGATTTCATGTAGCCCTTTTTAACCTCTCCTCCTTTGATTCTAATGTATAAAATAAACCTCAAAACCGCCATTCCCTGGAGCATTTTTTCAATTCATCGAGATTTTCCTCCCAGCTGTTGTTGTCAGTTTGGCTCAACTAAACTCATAAAAATTCTCTATAGGTTTAGGTGTTTCTTACATTGATACATTCATTTCTCTTGGAAGATGGTATACCATAGAACAAAATTAGTGACATTACCTTTGTACACTCCAACATGTTAATTATGGTATGATTGTTACTGGACCAGGGACCTGGCCCTAAGTGGGTTTGCCTAGGGCCAGATGGTAGTGTGTGGGTTCTTGACTTTAGGTATGAAAGATTTCACAACATGAGTCCAGTTGACTATGAGGATCCATTTATTACAGGGGAGAGCTGGGGAGAGCAAAATAAGGAAGGCATAGCATAGCATTCTTAGCATAGAATAAGCAACAGGAGAGCCTCACTAGGAAATCAGAGAAAAGGGGGCTTTGGGGATTAGGTTGGGGACCAACTGCTGCTGCCGAGTGCCTTAGAGTTTAGGAGATGGCTACCTTTGGGGAAAGAACTGAGGGGAAAGAGGGAAAAGGATATGGCACTGGCTGCTCCCCCATGAGAGAAAGTGCAAGTATGCTTGGTCCTTTGTGTTGAGGCTTTAATCTCTCTCTTACAGTCTGGGAATCTTAGGGGAGGGTTTCAGCAGAATATTCACCAGCTCTCAAGGTGTGCCATTTTAGGGTCATGGTCTCCACTGATTGGTCATTGGCAGGGCAGGGGGTCTTTTAGTCATTGTAGTTGGTCCTGGAGTCACCCACCTGGTTTTGCTGCTTTTCTGGTCCTGGAGGTGAAATACAAGTGAAGCCTAAATGTTATCTCCAGGGAGGAAAGGTTTCCCTGGGCGTGAGGTCCTTGTTTTCCCAGTTTGACCCCTGCCAGGCACTAGAGGCCTTCAGCCCTGGTGACCATTCGCACCTGGCTATAAATTGCTCAGCCATTGTGTTCAGCTATGTGTCTTTACTTGAGGATCTGTAACATATCCTCAAAAATGTCCCTGACTAAGTAGGTAAGAAAGAGGAAGAATACACCAATGTAAAAGCATATCACTTATACATTACTTCTTTCAGTAAGTAGAAGTCTGGGAAACTAACCTAAGCTAAATAAAAATATATTCTGATGAAAGCTGAAGAAACAAAAATCAAACAAACCAATACTAACAAAAAATCTATCTTAATATAGTGCTTAATATAAATCAGATTTTTTAAAGGTCTTGTAGAATTGCCCTCCTCACTGAAAAGTGTAAATTATACCATTGAACTGTCCAAAGATGAGTCTTCTGTTGCTCCCCTGCAATAAAGGCAATCAATGGCTTAAGGAGTTCTCTTCTCAGTTTTACAGCTATATGAAATTCGTCAAGACCCTAACATGTACTACATGCCTAATTGTTGCTGATAATTAATTCACAGAATGTAAATGAGTGAAAAGTTTAAATCATAATGTATGTTCTTTTTCCACAATAATAAAATCTAAGTTCCCTTAGCCAATTTCTTTAAAACTTGCCTCATATACCCACAAGGTTTACCCCAGCACCCCGCCCCTCAAATAGCAATAGGCAGTAATTTCTAACATAATCTAGGGTCTCCTTTTTTATTTACTGATTTTTAGAGAGAGATAGAGAGAAAAACATCAATTTTGTTGTTCCACTTATTTATACATTCATTGGTTGCTTCTTGTATGTGCCCTGACCAGAGATGGAACCCACAACCTTCCTATATCCAGAGAATACTCTAACCAACTGGGCTACCTGGCCAAGTGGGAACTCTTACTTCTTAAAATAATAATATGTGTCCTTGCCCTGGCTGGTGTGGCTCAGTGGATTGAGCATCAGCCTGGGAACCAAAGGGGAACCCATTCGATTGCCAATCAGAGCATAATCCTGGGTTGCTGGCCAGGTCCCCAGTAGGGGGCACGTGAGAGGCAACCACATATTGATTTTCTTTCTCTCCTTCTCTTCCTCCCTCCCTTCCCCTCTGCCTAAGAAATAAATATATAAATAAATACATAAATAAATAAATAATCTTAAAAAAATAATATGTGTCCCTTTTCCCTTAGAGAAGGGGTGTCCAACTTTTTGGCATCTCTGTACCACACTAGAAGAAAAGTTGTCTTGGGCCATACATAAAATACATTGGGACACGTAATAAAGAAAATCTCATAATGTTTTAAGTAAACTTATGATTTTGTGTTGTGCCGCATTCATAGCCATCCTGGGCTGCATGCAGCCCACATGCCACAGGTTGGACACCCCCACCCTAGAGAGTACTGAATTTGGAGTCAAAGACCTGCTTTGATATTTAGAAACTGTGTTTGGGAGGGAGCCACTCATCCTCCCTGAGCCTCGATTTCTTTATGTGCAAAACAGCAATAATAATATCATGGGTTGTTGTGAGAATATAAAAAACAACGGGCCTGACTGGTGTGGCTCAGTTAGTTGGGCATCATCTAACAAAGCTAAATGTCACTGATTTGATTCCTAGACAGGGCACATGCCTGAGTTTCAGGCCAGATACTCGGTTGGGGGCATGTGCAATAGATATTTGTATCTCCTCCTCTCTTGGAGGCAGGAGATAGTCAGGAGAGAGGAAACTAAGGAGGTGCCCCAGGGCTAAGATAAAGGACAGCCATACAGGACAGAGACCCTGTTCTAAGACTGGTTGTTCTCGACTTCTGGAAAAGCACAGAATCATGGTGAACCATGAATGCACCTTCACAGAAGATGCTACATGACCCCTGATTCATTATAATAAATTAATATTGTGGGACCCCATTCCCTGGTGGCCAATCAAGAAAAATCATGGGAGACCACATGTACAGCAGCTTTAAAGTAATATAACTACTTGTACATGTGCAATAGAAGCCCGCCAAAACTAGTCAGGAAATATCTGCCCTATAAGAATAGAATCCCTCTAGCCCTTGAGGTCAATCTCTGCTGAGCATTGGCTCGCTCCCATGTTCTGTGGAGTGTACCATTATTCAATAAATCTGCTCTCTCTCTTTCTGCTATAAACACTCTGTGTGTTCAGTTCAATTCTTTGCCCACGATCACCAGGAACCTGGTCACCTGTGGCCACCTGCGACTTCTTTCTCCTTGCTCCTTTCTCTGAAAATAAATAAAATCTTAAAAAAATAAAACCACAAGGAACATCAAACTTATTTCTTTTTTCTTCAAATTGCACTTTTTTCATAGTGTTAACTGGGAGTTGTTTTTTTAAGATTTTATTTTTAGAGAGAAAGAAACGTATTACATATTTGTGCGAGAGAACCATCAACTGGTTGCCTCTCCTACACACCCCAGGCTTGTGCCCTGACCAGGAATCTAACCAGTGACCTTTGCTGGACCACGCCCAACTGAGGCACACCGGTTAGGGCCTGAGCTGGAAGCTTCTAGAAGGTAGGGCTTTCTTCTCAGTACTGTGGCAGGCGGTCAATAAACGTCTACTAGGTGAAACCTAGTAGGTGAAACTCTTCTCGCCAACAATATGACATCCTGACGTTTACAAACATTCCCCATCAATTCACACATAAAGTACTAAACTTACCTATTAAACTAGGTGACGCCATCAGGGGCACATCAGGGGATAAGGGCAAACAACCGGTGACGTACTTCCGGCGCGACGCTTTTCCTCCACGCCGAGACGGGGTTGTGGGGGAGGGAGGCGGGTAGTGGGCTTTAGCGCCTTTTCTAGCGGCGGTAGATTTGAAGCGCTTTAAAGGACCCGGGGAAGAGAAGACTGTACTGGTGCAGGTAAGTAGCGGGAAGCCCGTGTTGTTTCAATGGCCTCCTTCGCTACAGTCCCTGTGCGAGAGCGGGAAGGCCCGGAGAAGAGGGGCGGAGCCGGCGCGATAGGCCCTGCCAAGCTAACCGTCTTCCTCTCGAGGTAACGGGGCTGCCTAGTTCCAGAGGGGACCCTCGAGGACCTTGACGCATGTTAGCACTTGGAGAAGGCTTTCAGCTCTGTCACCCGGGCCCGGGGAACGGCCCTCCCTCTGCCAGCCCCCGCCCTCTCCTTTCGGGCGCACGCCTCCTTCCCTGACGCATTTTGCCGCACAAGCTGTAATATGGCGGCAGCGTCGGCGGCCTGAACTCTAGGGAGCCGGGGTGATTTTTGATGCTTCAAAATTGTAAGACTAAACACTAACGTGGGGTAGATAGGAGGATTGGTGGGGAAGGGGAAGGCGTAACTTGACATCCTGTCAGGGTTGGAGCGTCGCGGGCGAGGAACCTGGATCACAGGAGTTAAGATTAGATTGAAGACAGGCTTTACTCCTACTGCGACCTTTTATTTCCTCATAGATACAGCGTCCGTCGTGAATAAAGTGGCCCAGGTCCCCTAGTTAAGCATTCTTCTAAAACTCAAATCAAGGCTCTTCTTCTGTCGTCCCAGAGCTGTCTCGAAGTTCTCCCACGTTTCCGAGGATCTGTGAGCAGCGCAGGCCTTTTAGAAGGAGATTACTTTAGAAAGCAAGTGATGGCTTTTGAGCTCCATATGCTTTGGGGGAAGTATGCGAATTTGGCTTATCTTTAGTCTTTTAAAGTGTTAAGTCGAGGTCTGCGGGCACGAAGAACTGCCAGTCGCTTTAGAGATGTTATAAAAAGCATCATTTTGTGCATTGATTTTAATTTCTCCTCACAACAGTACATTCTGTGCATGACCAAGTTTTTGCAATAGTGGTCACAAGTAGTTCCAAGGAACAATTAAATATTTTGGAAATTTGGGGATATGTTAACTTCCAGTAGCTTAAAATCACATGGGGGGAATATATGTGTGTCTGTATGTATTCTCATTTGGCAAAGAATGACCAGTAATTTATCATTTCGGAATGATAATGGGGAGGCTATGTGTAAACATTTTTGAAACTGTGCCATAAAATCCAGAAAAGGCACAGATATCTACATAGTCGCTTCTTTTACTGATACTTGTTCTGTATCAGAAAATTTACCCGATCTAGCATTCCCCTTTTATTTTATTTTAACCATTTGAGATGGGATTATTTTATAACAAGTTACATTTTGTTTTAACCAGAGTTCATTTTATATTGTTTAATGTTTTCTTTATGATTCAGGATTATTGGTGCTTTGGGATTGTAATGGGTCTTGCCTTGTGGGATTCTGTACTTTTTTTGGAATTGCGTTTGCTTTTTAGGTTGTTTTGTGTTTGTTTTGGTCGTTGCAGGCTCTTGTCAGAGTCAGTTCTTTTTGTCAGGAGTGGACAAGTTTGCAAATTCCTTAGGTTAGAAATTTTTGTTTCTGGCTCAAACATCTTTCTGAACCTCAGTTTCTTCATTTATAGAATGATATTTTGATTTCAGACTATCATGAAACTAGGGTTCAAAAACAAATATTAAGGTTTGTTAAAATTCTGTTTACAGTGGGCTTTCAGTGAGAACTCTGCGGTTCTCCAATGAGTGAAGAGCATACATTATATTTATTGAAATGTATTAAAGGCCCTTAGTTTTTTGGTGGTATTTACCTTCAGTAAGAATTCTGTGGTTCTACGAATGAAGAACATACATTACGTTTATTGGAATGTATTAAAGATCCTTAGTTCTTGGTGGTTTTTATTGTGGTCTTACAGTATTGTGGCCTTGAAGTAAGATCTTTGTCCTTTTGCATATTTTAAATTAGATTTTCTGTTGGGCAGCATTCATTCTATAATCAAGGGAAATTGGTAGCCATTCATAATAGGATGAACTAGTTCTGTTATCAGGACACCACCTGCAATTCTTTCAATATTGCTCTTTTAAGAAATACGGGTTGATGTTTTTCCCTATTATTTTATTAATAAGATAGTTCAACAGAATTATGTATTATCTGTTTTTAGTATCCTAATGTACTAAGCTGTTTTACTTGGGGAGCCATAGATAATTGACTCAATTGACTTGAAGAGTTTGTTGCAAATCTTTCTGCTATGTTGTGTTACTGAATTTTTTTTCTCCTGCTTTAATATTAGCACCAATCTTCAGTTTTCATTTGATTTAAGACAAATCTTATATCTTGAAATTTGCTACAGGCACGTATCATAAATACTCAAAGAAAACTGTTGTATCTGGGACTTTGTACTTTTAGTGCCAGAGAGGAAATCTTTTGAACTTGGTTTTAGTTTGAGTGGTGGCTTAAAATAGTCACCAACTTCTTTTTGAAATTTAATTACATCATACTTATAAATATAGGCATCAATTTTTTATATTAAAATGGTCATTTTCAAAATGTGAATGATTCCTTAACTCACTGATTTTTAAAATGAATGAAAACCCTGCTTATATATGAAGCCACTGTGACATAAAACTTGGGCTTACAGTTTATTTAGTCATTGCATTATGGTCATATGCTGGAAAGTTCAATAAGCCATTACCTAGAATGTTTGTGAATAAGCTGGTTTCCACAGTGAAGCTATAGACTACTTAAACAGAAAACTCTTGCTTTTCTTTTTTTTTTTTTATTTTGTGGTTCCTTGTGACCTTGAGCCAGTCACTTTAAGTCGCTGGTCCTCTGGTTCTAAATCTATAAAATCAGAATATTGGACCAGATTATCTCTAAAGTTCCTTCTAACTTCAGGAGTTTGTAGTTCTATACAAATTACCGAATTGAATAATGTTGATAGGATGGTGTAGGTATAGCTCTGGAGACATTGAAATAAATTTATCATTATAAGAATGTAAATAATTGCAGGTACAATTTTAAGAATATTAGCAGAGATTTCCCGGTTAGCATATGCTTTTTTCAGTTCAGTACTAACACAATTGTACTATATTTTTATGTCTCTTGGATTGTATGTGTCGAAAGTGTATAATATCTTTACTTAACACTGAACTTGGCAACATTCCAGAATTTCTTTTTGTTTTCTAAAGGATTGGAGAATTTGGGAAGTGTGTATACTGTTAAATTGTGGTTCTGCCAGCACTGTGGTTTGTGACTGTCAGAGACACTAAGGGAAGGGGGCGCTATATGGAAGAGCATAACAGTAGTTGCCTTTCCTGACACCTCAGAATGTTAAGTTGTACTTAATTCATTAGCAATGTGACATTCATAAGTGTATTTAAACGTTTTTGAAACAATTCATTTTTCTCATTTGTTCTCTATAAACTACATTAGGGGTAGGGTAAAAGAGGCCTATGGATGTTAGATTGCCATCTTTGAAAGTAATTTTCAAGATTGGCTGTAGTCTATTAGTTTAACTTATACAACATGATTACACTTAGAGATGGAAATCTTGTATGAAAATTGTCACCTATTTATTAAACTTAAGCAGATGCCCACTGTTGTTTCTTGGTTTTGAACTGAATATGCCCTTTTATAGTGGATTCTGTAGGAAGGGATAGAGGGAGGGAGGGCACAGAGAGAGAAAGGAAAGGAACACTTCAAAAAAGATTTTATTTACTTATTTTTAGAGAGAGGAGAAGATGGGGCGGCGGGAGGTGGGGGGAGAAAGAGTGAGATGTGTGAGAGAAACAGCAATCGGTTGCCTCTCTTATGCTCCCAACTGGAGAGTTGGCCCACAACCCAGGCATGTGCCCTGACTGGGAATCGAACCAGCAACCTTTTGGTCCACAGGCTGGTGCTCAGTCCATTGAGCCACACCGGCCATGGTGAAAGGAACACTTTTTAAAAATAAAATGCAGTAGGCAGGTCTAGACTTTCAATTGTGAAATAGGCTGAAAGAATGGTTACTGGTAGGCTGCGAGAATTTCTGACTACAGAACTATTGACAATACCCTATGTGAGGAGGAAAGGCACTGAGTTTTAGTAAAGGAGTCTAGTTCTACTCATGCTTTGATTAACTAGCATTCTTTCTATTTGATAATGTAGTCCTGAGCCAGTCATTGCTTTGTGTTGAAGATACAAAGGTTCTTATTTTGAGGAACTTACAGAGCAGTTTGTGATAAAGGAAGATTCAACAAAGGAGGATCATTTAGGCTTTAGAGAGCTACGGTGAAGCTCCCAGAGTGTACTCTGGCTCTGTGAATCTTTAAGGACAAGCAGAAGTTAGCCAAGGGAGTCAGAAAGGACAAAGACCTGCTGATCATCTTAGTATTAATAGTTTAGAAGGATTTGCTGTCTACATTTTCAATATTCAATACTATGCTGACTCCCTCATACTGTGTAAAGTTGCCAAATAATTCTTTGAATGTAGTAAAGTCACTGTATTATTTATTGCCTTATTACACATACCTTGTCCTTTATCGAATATTTTAATGATTAGTTGCCCATATGCTTTGTCCTCCCTTCTTCATGTAACTTTAGGGTGAATATGGAAATTATTTTATGTATGCATCTACAAGATTTAACTTTTACATATGAATTGTTACCTCTCTGATATTTTTTAATGATGTATATATATATATATGTTGTAGAAGTTTATAATCTTAGCATTTATATTTCGAAATCTTATAACTTATGTCTATTGTTGACATACAAAAGTAACTAAAAACATTTTTTTTTAATTAAACAAAAAAGCCCTGGCTGCTGTGGCTCAGTGGATTGAGTGCTGGTCTGAGAACTGAGGGGTTGGCAGTTCAATTCCTTGTCAGGTTGCAGGCCAAGTCCTCAGTTGGGGGCATGCCAGAAGTGACCAATGTATGTTTCTCTCACCCATCAATGTCTCGCTTCTTCTCTTTTTCCCTTCCTTATGCTCTCTCTAAAAATTAAATAAAATCTTCCTAAAATTTTTAAAAAGTAACAATGATATTGTTGCTAAACATTTAAAATAACATGTGATTCTGTCTGCTTAGAAAAAAGTAGAACAT